AGATGGTCACCTCACAAACAGGAAGAGAGACAAGGCAGAGGTATTTAACACTTTTTTTGCCTCTGTCTCCAACATGGATGACAGACCAAGGGTGTCTCAGTACCCTAGGCTGGAGGACCATAACTGCAAGAATGATCACCTTCCAATCGACCCTGAAATTGTGTGGAATCTGCTGCTCCAGATGGATTCCTAAAAATCTGTGGGGCCTGATGGGATTCATCCCAGAATCCTCAAAGAGCTGGATGATGTCATTGTAAAACCTCTCTCAGTGATTTTTAAGCAGTCTTGGGAATCCAGAAAGGTCCCAGCTGACTGGAAACCAGCAAATGTCCTGATTTTCAAGAAGAGCAAGAAGGAAGACCCCAGAAACTACAAGCCTGTCAACCTGACACAGTTTATCAAAGGAAGCCAGTTGATGTAATCTTTTTGGATTTCAGTAAAGCTTTCGATACTGTTTCACACAGGATCCTTTTGGATAAAATATCCAGCACACAGCTGGATAAACACATCACATGGTGGGTAAGCAATTGGCTCACAGGTGGAGCACAGAGGGTAATAGTGAATGAGGTAACATCAGATTGGTGACCTGTCACTAGTGGGGTTCCACAGGGCTCCATCTTCATCCCAGTGATCTTCAGCATCTTCATAAATTACTTGGACTCAGGACTGGAAGGGATCCTAAGCAAGTCTGCAGGTGATACAAAACTGGGAGGAGCTATGGACTCCCTCAAAGGCAGGGAGGCCCTGCAGAGAGATCTCAACAAGTTAGAGAACTAGCAATCACCATCCAGATGAAGTTCAACAAGGGAAAGTGCCGGATTCTGCACCTGGGATAGGGCAACTCTGGATGTTTGCACAGACTGGGGAATGAGATGCTGGAAAGCAGTGCCACAGAAAGGGACCTGGGAGTCCTGGTTGATGGCAAGTTGAATATGAGTCAGCAGTGCCCTGGCAGCCAGGAGGGCCAACCGTGCCCTGGGAAGCATCAGGCAAAGCATCGCCAGCTGGTTGAGGGAGGGGATTGTCCTGTTCTGCTCTGCACTGGTGTGGCCTCACCTTGAATATTGTGTGCAGTTTTGGGCACCACATTATAAGGTATTAAGCTCTTAGAGAGCATCCAAAGGAGGGCAATGAAGATGGTGAAGGGCCTTGAGGGGAAGCTGTACGAGGAGCGGCTGAGGTCACTCGGGCTGTTCAGCCTGGAGAAGAGGAGACTGAGGGGAGACCTCGTTGCGGTCTACAACTTCCTCTTGAGGGGCGGAGGAGGGGCAGGCACTGATCTCTTCTCTGTGGTTACCAGTGACAGGACCCAAGGGAATGGCCAGAAGTTGTGTCAAGGAAGATTTAGGTTAGACATTAGAAGGAGGTTCTTCACCCAGATGGTGGTTGGGCACTGGAAGGGGCTCCCCAGGCTTGGTCACAGCACCAAGCCTGACAGAGTTCAAGAAGCTAATTACCACCTAATTAGCATCGTGCAAAGTGACACTTCTTCAGTAGAAGAACGAATAAAACAACCATTAGCAGAGTCCTATTTAAAACAGAGCATTTAGCAATCTCCAGAAAACATGGTGTGATCCAAGGTAAAGGAAGCTTCTTCATTGACAGCTAATCACAGAATCTTTGCAGCAGAGAGGTACAAGAACAATTACTGCTTTTATCATGATTTTCACTCAGAATCTGGTTTAACTGTTGGATGCTCATGGAGAAATCCCCTGTTCTTCCTGCAGACCCCACCAGCACCAGAGCTGTTTCTGTATCTCCTCCACAGTATCCTCTTTCCTTTTTCATTTCAGTAGGCAAATAGCCCAAGCTCTGAACTTCTGATGAATATTCAGATTCTGGTTTCATGCTACACCAAAGTTTAATGCCTTTCTTTGCTCTGCTTATATGAATAAACAGTCATAAACACTTGGGTTACCACATTTTTACAAGCTACCGCGAGTCAGCTGAACAGTGGCAGCTGTTGGACCACCATGCTCCAAGGTTAAAGCAGATGGTTCTCCTCCCCAGCTCTGGCAAGGCTGAGGCACGAACAGGCTCTGGAGTTGCCATCCAGCATTGAGTAGCTCTCCACACCCTACATTCCTTTCTCACCTTTTACAATGTACAGCTGACCCACCAGCAGGAAGTCCATTAGTGTTTCTTATAATCTTTAACAGTCCCTGTACTGTTGCAAATGTTGAAGTGGCCAGCAGGACTAGGGAAGTGATTGTGCCTCTGTGCTCAGCACTGGTGAGAAAGACATTGAGGTGCTGAAGCATGTCCAGAGAATGGCAGTGAAGCCGGTAAAGGGTCTAGAGAGAAAGTCATACAAGGAGCGGATGAGATTGTTTAGATGGGAGAAAAGGAGGCTTAGGGGAGACCTTATAACTCTCTACAACTACCTGAAAGGAAGTTGTGGCCCGGTGGGGGTTCTCCCAGGCAACTAGGGATGGGAAAAGAGAAAATGTACTCAAGCTACACCAAGGGAGGTTCACACTGGACATCAAGAAGAATTTCTTCACTGAAAGGGTGGTCAGGCATTGGAACAGGCTGCCCAGGGAGCATCCGTGGAAGTGTTCAAGAAATGGATGTGGCACTATGGTTTAGTTTAGGTGTTCAGTCAAAGTTTGGACTCAATGATCTTGGACGTCTTTTACAACCTTAATGATTCTATGATTCTATGATTTAATACATATCACACATGCGGTCAGCCTCCGAATCCCAACCTGGGATCTTTTCAACTAGATCACCACTTCTTTCATCATTCAAATCTCAGTCTCACAGAATCATCGTGAGTTTTACTCTGTAACATGTGCTAACACATTAATAACAGTTCTGCTGATACATCCTAGAAACTGCAGTGAGAACCAAAGATTAAAAAAAATAAAACCACACAAGAATGAATTTTGAAAACACTCTAAAAACGTTTCCAGACTTGTACTGAAGGGAAAAAAGAAAAAGAAAGTATTAAAAAATGTATGAGCCCAGCCCCTTTGCTATTCCCTGTGCTCTCCATCTGCTGACAAGGAACTGTATTCCCATTGTCAGCATTAAACAGCAAACTCTCTCACCCCTCGCTGGAAAGTATTTGAGCACTAACTAGTAAATCATCAAAACAGTAACTCAGGAGACCTCATGGGAGTACTTTCTTTCTTCCTTTCTCATATCAGAAATCAGAGGCACGCTGAAAGGTACTATAAACGTCTCTATTACTACTAACCTAGCTTGGCTAAAAGAGATCATTTCTGCAAACAGTTCTTGACCTGAACATATTTATCATGTCATTTCTACTCTGACTCTCGAAGCAGATTTCACTCCAATACATATAAAACCAACCTTCGTAGATGCATTTGGCTTAAACTCAGCAGCGTTGTATATAATTCAGCCAGCAGAGTTGTATATAATTCAGCAAAATAAACACAAATGTTTAGCCATTGCTTACATTTATTTGCATTGACTGGTCACTGAAAATGCTGAATTTTACACTCCACAGGACAAAAAATGACAAGAAAAGCAACTGAGAGCAAGGGAGTTTCCACACACAGAGACAGGATCTAATTATGCTTTTAAATTGAACAAGTCAAGGGTCATTGCTTCAGTGGTGACAAACTGGCATACATATGATGCACATACTTTTTTCTAAAAGTCTCCCATCAGGTTTTCTTACGCATACTCTTCAAACATGTAGTCTATGAAACAATTTTTTTCTTGAACAGATATGGCTATATCAATACAATGTTTTAGAGTTTACAGGTAAAACCTCTCTATATGTGTCAAATTTGAATATTTAAACTGCCCACTGTGTACACAAGAAAATCTACATTCTAATCAATATATTTAATCTGCAAGATCCTTCAGGTTTTGCTTCATTTTAACACATCTCACATATCCCTGAATGCCACACAAATTTCTGAGTTTTCTATACCTGCTTCCTTCATGTGGATTTCCATCCAGGCATACATTTGTGAGAAGGAAAATTGGGCAAAGGGTTTGCAACTTGTCCACTAACACTGCCTGGTTCACTTGGTGAAATCTCAGCTGTGCAGCTGCCTTTCCCTTCCATCCTGCTGCATGGCCAGGGGAGGGCTGTA